TTTTTTTTTACTTTTTTATTTTTGCGGTACGGAGGATTGAACTCAGCACCCTGTGCTTGCCAGGCAAGCGCTTATTCTACTGAGCTATCTCCCTGGCCCACAAGGATTATATTTTTAAAAATCCATATAGCAACACTGTATTATTTCCCAGAGGCCATCAAAGTTTCCACTAGAAACTCTGACCTGAATCCACATTGGACAGGCCCCTCTGCTCCATATCACTAGCTGTACAACTTAGGATCTACAATGGTGATCTGAGTTATCTTCTATGGTGTCATTAAAATGAAGTCCGACGTGCACAGGGCAGAGCTAGAAGAGAGATCCTCAGCAAACACCTATCCCATCGAACATCCCATTTTAAACCCAGTATCTATCTTTATGTACAGTGTCAGGTTATAGTAACTGAAATCGTTTTTTCTGGTTTCATTTCAGATCGTCTCCCAAGGTGTTCCTTTGAGAGCAAGAATGATTCATTCTCTTTCGGGAAAAAAATCTGCACTTCCCTATGGAAAAAAGCACCAGGTAGGTCTACCCTGGAGATGACGGTTTGAGATGGGATTATAAGAAAATCTAAGGTCTGGAATTGTTACGTGCTTGTTGGTGCCTCTCTTCCTTGGTAGCCTTACCTTCGGCATGGCCTGCATAGGACTAGCCCTCAGAAACAAGTTAATTCATAGAATATGCGCAAAACAGGCTTTAGCTCATAATGCATAATAAAAAGAATTGGCTATTATTACTGTTTTCATCATGAAGTCGTTTCCCGCCTCTGTGTTTTGCTCCTGCAGCCCAGCTGCTTGGGATGAACTTTTCCTCCCAGCTTGTTTTCAACTGGAGAAAATTACCATGTTATTTGTTGTCACACATAATATACAATAACAACTGGAGGGGATTTTATGGTGTCATTGCCTTCCCTTAACCCTCTTGCCCTAAATTTGCTTATAATAGAATGCACAGAATGCACCAGAAATGTTTTCAGTACTCCATGATTTCTAGAACAACAGAGGCCAGATGGTGATTACAAACCAAAATTCATTATCCAATTTTGTGCTTTTCTTATCTCTCCCATAGTACCAAATGTACTTGGGAAAAATAGGTATTTTCATCTAATTATACCTGCCAAGTTTTTTGCTTGAGATAGAAGGAAGGCCCCAACCATCCATCAATAAGTAGTGAATTCCAAATTGCTTTCTTTTCATCCAGAAATGCCTTAATAACTGCAAAGCCCCAGTGAGGGTCACACTGTGAACCATGCTCCTATTGTAGGCAGATCCAGGTTTCTCAGCTTCCCCTGAGAATTTGTTGAAATGCAGAATCTGGTTTGGTAGGGTTGGATGGAATCTGAGGTTCTGCATTTCTAACCAGCTCCAAGGTGGCTCTCGTGCTGTTGGTCCACAGACTTCACTTTGAGTAGCACGAGGTAAAACACATATATATTCATGACAACAAAGTCTTTGGAGGTCTTGCAATGATAAATGTGGATAAAAAGAAAAGCATTTCAACAACTAAGGATTTTGGGATACAGGCAGGATCAAAATTTTTGATAATGGCTTTTGGAAAAATAGCAAACCACTTGTTATCTCCTGCATAAGGGCATAGGTTCCAAGTCTCTTTTTGGTGGAACCAGGGATTGAACTCAGGCCCCTGCGCTTGCCAGGCAAGTGCTTGTTCTACTGAGCCATCTTCTCAGCCCCTCTGAGGTTTTTTGTTGTTATTGTTGTTTTTTTTTTTTTTTTTTTTTTTTTTTTGGTGGAACCAGGGATTGAACTCAGATCCTTGTGTTTGCCAGTCAAGCACTTATCTTACTGAGCCATCTCCCCGGCCCCAGAGTCTTAATGCATGCAATAAGAGTCTCCTTAGCCATTCTTTGCATTATAAACATCTTTAGCTAACTGGCATTCTTATGTAACTGACTCCAAATTGAGCTAGGATCTATAGAAAAGATTGAAATGCCATCTCTTCTTAAAAGGCAAGTTGAGCTTACACCTGCAGATTAAATATTAACCCTATATATTAAATCTACTCTGTTATTCTAGTAAATAGTAATGGTCCTGTGTGCTAACTGTGCTAATGTTGGGAACAAAAAGGAGGCCAGTCTGATAGAGACAGACAGACTTCAAGTTCATCATGAGAAGTCTTCACGTGAGTGATGCAGATAAGAAATAGGAGAGTGGCTCAGAGGCAGAGGAGAGTTTGCAGAGATTTCACAGAGAAAATGAGATTTAGGTCTCAGGCTCTAAAGCTGCATGGGTGCTCCCAGCACAGCTCATACTTGTGTTGCTCTCCTTACTATATTGAGAGTGACTCCTAACAGTCACGGGATGTGCTGAGGAAGACCAAACCATGGCATTTAAACCCTCTCCAGTGTCCAAGCCTGTCATACATCAACAGATGGAAGACATTGCTCATATAGCAGAGAAGTTAGATGGGGAGGGTGACTTGGACTTAAGAACCAAAAGTGGCTTCTCAGTTCTTTTTGGAGGGGGGGCAGAACTGGGGATTGAACTCAGGCCCTTGCGCTTGCCAAGGGAGCGCTTATTCCACTGAGCCATCTCTCCAGCACTTTCTCAGTTCTTAAGAACTGAGTTCTTACTAAATTTACAGCCACCCCATTCTTCAGGTTTTATATCACCACATTTTCAGTGCAATCAGAGAACTCAGAAAAAAAAAAAACAAATGCTGGTGAGGGTGTGGGAAAAGTTCTATACTGCTGGTGGGAATGTAAACTAGTAACCACTATGGAAATCAGTATGGGTCTGGGGGGGGGGTCCCGTGGGTGCGTGGAGCGGAAATCAAGTCAACAGCTTCTGACATTGCCAGTCCTGCGGGTAACCCACTACTGTTATGGTCTACTGACTCTACTGGATTATTTTGCTGAATTCACGCACCTACAATATTTGAATAGCAATGGAATGCCCATCTCTGACAAAGCTAATCAAAAAAGGGAGATATAAATAAAGGACCATTTTGTAGTGAAATATATATATGTATAGATATACACATATATATGCAAATTAGTTAGATATACAGCCACTTTCCCTTAGATCAATGAGAAGAAAGATTTGTACTAATAGTGTTTAGACAAGATATCATGTCTGCATCTTGCACTATGAATAACTACTATGAAGACAACAATATGCAATGTATTAATTATTGTAACTATCCTACTAATCTGTTTTGAAACTGTCTCATTGATATTTCTTTCTCAATAAAATTAATTTTTAAAAAAGAAAATCAGTATGGAGAATCCTCACAAAACTAAAAATGGAAATTCCATTTGATCTAGCTACATTAGGTATCTTCCTAGAAAAGTTGTAGATATTGTATTATACTGAAACAAGCATACCATGTTTGTAACAGTACAATTTACAATAGTTTAATTATAGAAATGTTCACAAACAGATGAATGAGTAAAGAAAGCGTGGAATAAATATATAAGGGAGAATTACTCAGCCATAAAGAAGGATAAATTTGAATCATTTTTAAGGAAATGGATGGATCTTGAGACCATAATGTTAAGTGGAATAAATCACATACAGAAAGATAAATATTCCATGGTTTCTCTTATATAAGAAATCCAAACTATAAATAATTGAAGACAAATATATGATATATATCCAAATTGGTGTAAGTCAAACTAATTTTTATGTATTGCAAACACGTACCAATAAAAATTACAGAAACAAAAAGTTAAGCTTGCTACTTTCTGCTGAGTAATAAATAATTCCTGTTACTGAGTGACTTAGAATTCACTGTCCATTCTCCAGAAATATCATCTGATCTATTTTTTTTTGCAGTATATTCTTTCTATAAGCAGAGAAAATTTGAACAAGAGTCTACTCGATGGTAAGTCCAATGTTTTTAATTTACTAGTTTGAGTAAAGCACATGGGACTCACCTTATTGTTTGATTTATTGGGATTTACTTACTATTCCATTTTATGGGTTATAAAGAGTAGAACTATGTACATTACAAAGTCTATTACAGCAGTAATAGTTCCTCCTGTATCCCTTATCAATCATCTAAATGAAAATCACATGTTTTTGGTCATGTGCTGAATGCCTCTTATGTCTATGCACTTGATGACCTCATAGTCTAGTGGAACAACAGACATGGCCCAACAATTTGCAGAGTGACAATTTGATGTGCATTTCCAAAAATTAGCAGCAGCCATGTGGAGGGCGGGAGAGAGTTATGATCTTGGGGGCACTGCAGTCTGATAAGACAGGGCCCTGGCTAACATTATAGCTGCATGCATGGTAGGAAAGGAACGTGTAGGTTCCTATTTGCAGGAGACCAAATATGTAGGCACTGAACAAGCTGAAAAGAGTAAGGTGTAAAATAAAACCCGAAATAATAAAAATGCCTGCACACTAACGGAAAAGCCATTGGGCTATAAATTGAACTTGTAATTTGCATAACTAATCACACCCTATGTGCCTTTCAGTCTACACTAAATTTAACCCCAGCTCATACTAATTTCTTCTCTTTGGCATTTGTACTAAATGGGCTCACTGTCAGCAAAGTGTGCTTCTCAAGTAGCTCTAGTTTTCAAGCCAAGCCCTCCTGAGGTGGCTCTGCAGTTCTGCTCTTTGGAGATGGCTGCTTGCACATGACTCTTCCTTACTTCCCCACAGTCCCCTCACCAGTCAGTTTGCAGTATGTCAGTTGGACAGAATTGCATAGAATTTGACTGAACTGAATCGAACAAGCTGAGTTGAGCTGAGAGGCAGAAGAAATGGGACAGTCACTCAAACTGACTTCCTGAGCACACAGGACCTGGGGCCTCAAAGTCTCCTGAATTGCATTTAATTATAGTTGCATAAATAAATCCTTAAGTTAAAGACAACTTTTGAAATATGAGAGCTTTTTTTTTCTTTTTTTAAAATTTTTATTTTTTATTTTTTATTTATTTGAGAGAGAGAGAGAGAGAGAGAGAGAGAGAGAGAGAGAGACAGAGACAGTAGTGTGTGTGTGTGGCCAGCTCAGCCCACCAGGGGGCGGGGCTGGCTGGCATGTGGTGCTGGGGGGTTGAACCGCGGTCCCTGATGCTTTGCCAAGCTTGTTCTAAGTAGGTGCCTTAGACCACTGAGCCATCTCTCCAGCCCCAGCTTTTTTTTTTCTAAAGCTCCTAAAAATTATAAGGATGTGAGGAACACAATTGCGTTGTATTCACACAATGCAATTAGCTGGATAACTGATTTTACTCCTGTTTTATTTTTAAAAATATAGTAACCATTTGCCAAACAGTTGTCAAATTTCAATTTTACAGATTTGTTTACATTATTAAGAATAAATTATCTCTATAATACTGCTTCAAGAAATTGATTAATATTTCCACTTGATCAAATGAAGTGAGCATTGGAACTTCATTTCTCTTTATCTTCTTTCTGTTTCCTCAGCTGTTGAGAAATACCCCAACGTGAAGGTGTACTTTGGCCACAGGCTGTTGAAATGCAACCCAGAAGAAGGAGTGATCACAGTGCTCGGGTAATCATGGGTCAAGCTTTGGTTTCAAAGGTGAAGGCTTAGGGTGGACAAATGGATGTATAAACTTTGTTCTTTAGCTCCTTTAAAAGACATAAATGATAACGGAAAAGGTAATTCAAATAGTTTTCAGACTCAGGGAATTTTACATTGAAAATTAACCCTGAGTGCTTTCTGAGCACATGCCCGTGATTCTTCTTAATGTCCATACTATCTCACCTTCCCATAATATCTGAGACTCGTGATCATACTCAATTTCAAAAGCTTCCCTCTCTTGAAATTGGTGATGCTCCCTTACCCAGATTTCTCTGTTTTCTGTCCCTCCTATGCTGATTCTACCTCCTCTAAAATGCCTTGCCACAGATCTGAGAGTTGGGGTATGACATGGATTCCTAATCAATGAATGTTAATTTCCTGATTATAGGCATATCTTAATATCCCAAAATGCCAACTGGGTTTTATTGAGCTACCACTCTTCATACTTAATCTTTCTAGTGGAAAAATTGACTCTCAGTTTTGTCTGAATAATGCATTTAAACTTTAGTCTTTAGATCCCCAATTCTCTTCATCTCCTCCCCTTTTCCCTTCCACACATCGTACAACTGGCCAGTCATGTATGTCTGTGGGGTCTTCCCCAGTAGATTCAACCAATCTTAGGTCAAAACTATTTTTTAATTGTATTAGTACTAAATATGTGCAGACTTTTCCTCACCATTATTCTCTAGACAATACAGTATAACAACTGCTTTCATAACATTTATATTTTATTAGGCATTATAAGTAATTTAGAGATAAAGTGTATAGGAAGCTACACATAGTTTATATGAAAACACTATACTAAGGGACTTGAGTATCCTCACATTCTGGTATCCTGTATCTACTCCTAGAGAATAAGGGACAATAAATATTCTTTTCTTGAGCTTGTCTTTTGATACCTTTTGCCACAACTAAATTTATTGCTCCTAAAAACTCTAGTCACATCCCTGCATTTGATCATTCATTCATTCATTCATTCACTCATTCATTCATACATTTTGGATTGTACAAATGTATTGTTGAACATCTTCTTTTTCTCAGGATTTCTCCTCCTTCATGCAGAGAGCTAAGATGTTTGCCACATGTCTGTGGCTTAGTGTATCTTTGTTAATCAGCATGGTTATGTATCACAGTCTCAGAAACAAAACTGTGACTGGACAAGTGATTTCATTTAATTTTATGTCTATTGACTCAAAGCTCAAAGACACATAAAAGGGATTTTTCTGTTTACCACTGAGCCACTTCTTTTCATACCAAAGTAAAAGTATACCATCATATTTTACTAGATCTTTTGGCTTGTTTTGGATGATTCACTCTATTTTTCAGAGCTGACAAAGTTCCCAAAGATGTCACATGTAACCTCATTGTAGGATGTGATGGAGCTTATTCAACTGTCAGAAATCACCTTATGAAGAAACCGCGCTTTGATTACAGTCAACATTACATTCCTCACGGGTACATGGAGTTGAGCATTCCACCTAAGAATGGAGATGTGAGTTCTTTCTCTTTCCCCTGCCCCTCCCCATAGGAGTACAATTTGTGCAGTGGTTCTCAGTGGCATGTCTTGATCAATGTTGAGTTCCAACAAAAGGCTTTTGTAATTCATAGTAGGTCAGATATATAGCTTTCCCTGTAGTAATATCACTCCATAACCTGTGGCATGTTTTCTTGAGAGGAAGAGGAGGAAAATGTTATGGGTGGCTCAGAATAGGAACCAGAGCAGTCAGATTGGAATTTGGAAAGCCATTTATTAATGAGCTCAGGGCCCCCATCAGCACTCACGCAGGAGGGGAACGAAGGGCAGCTAGCCCAGGAAGCAGAGGGGAGGTTTAAAACCTGGAACCACATCCCATTTGGTAAACAAATTCATTGTCTGACACAAACAATGCTTTCAGGGTCAGTGTAACCACTACTCAAACTAAATTTCCTGGGGCTTTCTTTTAGTTTCTGGTTATCTTGCACCTGAGTACTTGCATGCAGCCTTGCATAGCCTGAGGTTACAAGAAGTTAAAGCCCATTTAATTTCCTTTTGAAGTCATCTCTGTAAGCTAACTTTGTTAACAAGAATTGGTGCGGTAAGAATTTTATCTTAGCAAACACCAAGAAACAGCCACTAGTTACTAAACACCTTAGAACAGTGGTGAGTACACATTTTTACACAACAGAAAACACAAGATTTACATTTATAGTCTAAAATGTGAGTTGACCCATTACAGAAAACATACAAGGAATTTGTGTTCCATCACAATATCATTTGTCTATATTCTCTGTGAGAAAAGAAAAGGTTAGCAAATGTATAAGCGAGATTTCCTGTCACTGCGACACAACACTCTACACTTATGAATTTAAAGGAGTAGAAGTTTAATTTGACTAATGGCTCCAGGGGACTCACTTCACAGTTGGCAGGTGTTATGGCTTGTGTATAGTTGTCCTCCCAAAGTCTCATGCAGTCTTGGGGCAGCTTCTAGAGTTTGTGATTGATTGTTGTGCTGCACCTGCCCTGGGGCAGTTAATTTGCATTTCAGTGTAAGCGGAAGAGAAGCTAGCTGCTTGAGCTGTTGCTCCCCCTCCCTTGTGCTCTTGCTCTTTGCTGCCACCATGAAAGGTTGCTCTCTGCCATGTGCCAGGCTGCCTTGGACTGAAACCCCTGGAAACTGTGCGCTAAATAAACTTTTCCTTCCTTCAATTTGGGTGTTGGGTATTTGTCCCAGAAATGAGAGAAGAGTAACTAAGACAGAATTTGGTACCAGGAGGGGAGTCATTGCTGTGTCTCAGCCTGACCATGTGGATTACAAGCTTTTGGGAATGGCTTTTGGGAAGAGATAGGAAAGGTTGGAGATGTTGCCCACTTCCAATGAGCTGGAACAGCTTCACTGTACTGTGTGGGAGACTCTGGCCAGAGCTTAGAAGACCAGAAGGCTGATGAAAAGCCAGCCTGTGAAGACCAGGCTGGGGAGGTATCTGCTGGGAAGAAGGACTGCATTGGTTGTTGGACTCCAGATCATTTGTGTTTTACCTTGCAGAAAAGTTGTCTGCATTTTGTTTGTGTCCAGAAACTTTGCCTGAGAGTGAGTTTAAGCATGGTGGACTGATTAATCTTTCAAAAGATATTTCAAAGCCGCCAAATATTGGGGTGGTGGCATGGTTGTAACTGGGGGCTTTTAGCCAGATTTATGTTGAAAATGAAGAACAAGGAGACCAGCTGGAGGACTTAAAACGTGAATTTGACCAGAAAGGAAGCTCCAATAAAGCTGTGGACTGCAAAGATGGAGCTGAGAGGATCTCAGCTGCCGAGAAGGAACGAGAGAATGGAAAGGACGGCCTGAGGGCATCACAGGAGAAGGCAGGCCTCCACCCTTTGCAGCCTCAGAACTGCAAAGGTCAGGGCCTTTGCCTTGAGGGGAAAGCCGCAGAGCCCCATGTTCCAGAGTGGCGGCATTGGCCACACCCAGTTCCAGAATGGCCCTGGCATAGAGAATTGATTCTTCAGAATCAGGGTCAGAGTGCTCAGTGATCCAGGCACTCGACCCCTACAGTGAAGAGAGAGGAAAAGCTGGCTACTGCTCCAGCTGGCAGCAGACCTTGGCATCATCCACGTGTATTGGTTTTAGGCGCATGCAGAATGCAGGAGTTCTGAGGTTAAGAAGGCTTCCACCTCGATTTCAGAAGGCCTGTGAGGCCAAGCAGTGTGCCCTGAGAGGGCAGTGTGTGAAGCTGTGAGAAGCTTATTCCATGGAAACCCCAGAAGTTTAGAAAAGCCAGGAACATGGATCATCTAAGGGAAACTGCAAGGAGGGAGCAAAGCCAGTTTAGGAGCGATGCCATGGGAACTACCACCGTGAGTGCCTTAGGGGCAGAGCCATGTAAGACCTTTGGAGCTCACAACTCATCACAGATTGCTTCAGATGTCCCACATGCAACTGCAGGACTTAAAGTCTGCCCTGCTAGTTTTTGGATTTGTGTTGGTCCCAATGCTTGGTATCCTGCTGTATGTACATTTTGGAACGGTAATGTTTATCTTGTGCCTTTGAATGTTGGAACTGTTTAACTTTTCATTTGTACAGGGGCTAGCAGTTGAGAGTTTGCCTTGGATCTTGGAGGGGACTTGCAACTCGGACTTGGCAGTAATGCTAAAACTGTTGGGACTTCGGCAACTCTTAGAGATGGACTAGATTGGCTTTTGCATAAAGGGATGTGCATGAGTCTTTGGGGGTCCAGGGGCGGGGTTTTACCGTTTGTGTATCGTTGTCCTCCCAAAGTCTTATGCAGTCTTGGGGCAGCTTCTGGAGTTTGTGATTGATTGTTGTGGGTGTGGATGCTGCACCTGCCCTGGGGCAGGTAATTTGCATTTCAATGTAAGAAGGGAAGAGAAGTTAGCTGCTGGAGCTGCTGCTACCTCTCTCTTGCACTCTTGCTCTTTGCCACCACCATGAAAGGTTGCTCTCTGCCATGTGCCAGGCTGCCTTGGAGCCAGCTGAGTATAGACTGAAACCTCCAGTAACTGTGAGCTAAATAAATCTTTCCTTCCTTCAATTTGGGTGTCGGGTGTTTGTCCCAGCAACAAGAGAAGAGTAACTGAGACAGCAGGCATAGAGGAGGGCGCGGCAGAGCACAGCTGCTTAGCTCATAGTGGCCAGGAACAGAGCTTGGGAACAGTTTCAGAGAAGAAAGGAGGAGAAGCCAGATTCAACCCCAGCATCATGTCTCCGTGATTTGGCCAGACATGCCAGAAATATGCTTTAGTAACCTGGGTGGACCCCGAAGCCCATTACAGTGACACACTACCTTTACTAAGAGAAAGCAATTTTCCAGCATACTGAGAACCCAGAGTTCTTATAGCCGTGATGGAATCAGATGGTATTTAAATAATTAATCATATAAAATGCCTGATTGTTGTAACCCAAAAATCAAAAACCGGACTCAACTTAAAAATGCAAAAAGTGCTTTATTTAGCTGAGCTCAGCGGCGGCACGTACTCTTGTCTCCTAGTAAGTGTGTGCCCAGGTAGGGAGAGACAGGGGTTTATAAAGCTGAAAACCGCAAAAGGGAGAGGTTTTGTGATCTAAGCAGGAGAGAAATGTAGCCCAGGGGTCAGGGTCTGCGTACGGGAAATTAGGTTATACTTTTTTACCATGTGGTTACAATCTTCAGGAACAAATAATTACAATTTATGGCATGGTGTTGATCAAGGGACATATTGTGTGGAGTAAGAAATAGTTCAGATTTTAACCTTTAACACACTGTGGTTTAGAGCAAAGGAATAGTTTGAACATTAAAACACTGTGTTCAGAGGTCCAGAGGATGGCCTGAGTCACCAAAATGGAGCTTAAGTTGTTAGCTTATACCAAACAGTCCTTGTTAGTAAAATCACAGTGGAAACGTACAGAGGTGTACAATAGAATGGCTGTTCTGGTTACAAAATGGAGTCAATCACATAGGTTCTAACAGAAACATACAGAGTTGTATAACAAAATAGCCATTCTAGTTACAAAAATGGAGACGGTTACAAGGTTATAACACTAATGAACTGCTGCAAAGAGATTTCCATTGTATTTTCTTCATTCCCTGGTTCCACTGATACATGGCAAACAAATGGCATGCTAATTCCTAGAAAAATTGTTAAATGCAACTTTATTTTATTTTGTTTTTGGTACTGGGAATTGAACTCAGGACCTCTCACTTGCCAGGAAGCTACTGCACTGCTGAGCTATATCTTTGGCCCTACCACTTTATTTTTAGAAATAAAACTAATTTTTATTTTTTATTTTATTTTGCCATAAATGAATATGGGAACTTGTTAATGAAATTAAAATATTCACTGAAGCTTATACAACTTATAAGTTCATATGATTAGATCACATTAAATGCTTCACTTGCCTATGAAACATCTGTTTTAAAGGTGCTGATTTAATTCTTTCTACCTGAAATGCAGATTTATAAAATAGATAGTGGGGGATAGTGGCATCAACAAACTGCATAAGGCAGTCAAGTCCGTATTTTGACATTTCAATGCATTTCTACTTCTCCTCCTAGTCAAAAATGCATTCACTAATGTTTCAATACTTACTCTATGATTTTTCTAGTGGGTCTTGTTCTCAGAGCCAATAAGTCTAGATTTTAAGGTAATAGAATTCTTTTGAAAAAGCATCTTGGTCCTAAGCAGAATAGTGCCTGTTAAAGTAAAGATAGCCAACCCCTTTGCAGCTATATATAATTAATAGTAATGCTTAGTGGGTTTTTTTAAAAAAATGTCATTCTTTTTAAAAACAGTGTCAACATAGCCAGGCGTGGTGACACACACCTATATTCCCAGCACTTGGGAGGCCAAGGTGGGAGGGTTGCTGAGAATTTGAGGCCAGCCTGGGCTACATAGTGAGTTCAAGGCCAATTTGAGCTGCAAAGGGAGACCTTGTTTCAAAAAACAAAAAGCAGGAGGGATAGTGGTGCACACCTGTAATCCCAGAACTCCAGAAGCTGAGACAGGAAGATTACCATGAGTTTGAGGCCAGCCTGGGCTACATGAATGGTTAAAGGTTAACACCAGCCTGAACTACATAGTAAGATCCTGTCTCAAAAAAATAAATAAAGCAAAACAGTAGCAATAAACACTAATGCTGACAACAATATGCTAAGGTGATCCAGACATAGGAATATTTTTACATGGCTCCAAAATAAGCCTATAGAACTTTATATTTCCTTTTCCTTCCTTTTGTTTTAATGTAATACATACAGCAGACATACTTCATCTCTGATGGATAAAGTAAGAAAGAGATTGGGTAAAAGAAAAGCTTTTGAGGAATTTTACAGGAGCCCACCCCTCTTTGGTCCTGGGGATCAAACTCAGGTACGTGCTTCACATGTAAGAGTCAGGAGCTCACCTGCCCCCAGCCCTGGAGGCTCATCTTTTTTTTTTTTTTTTTTTTTTTTTTTTTTGTGGATAGCTCAACCGGCCCGGGGTGGGGATGGCACTGTGGTACCAGAGATCAAACCAGGGTCCTTGCACTTGCTTAGGCAGGTACTGATACCACTAAGCTATCTCTGTGGCCGTATAGGCTCATCTTAAATCTGCTTTGTGCACAGGTACAAAATTATTTTGGTTTAGAGAGACATGTGGTGAAAGGACCAATGATGCTTATGCCAAGCCGTGCTTGGGACTGCTCTCCCATGAAAACAGCTAAAGAAAGTATGACTTGATAATAAAGAAGCTGAACATTTAAGAATCATTTAATAAGATTATTAAATGTGTGTGAGCATCAGTATGTTTTTGGTATCATTCTGTGTATAGTATAATGACATATAAACAATTCTTTAGCCGATGAGAAAGACAGAAGATATGGTGTCTCTCAAACTATTTTAATGAGAAGTGATGACTATTATTAAAGTAAAAGGTGAAAAAAATACTTCCCATTATTTCTCCTGCTTTTCTCACCTTTTGAAGTTCTAAGACTTAGATAAGAGGTCAGAAGATATTAAAAAATCCCAAGAAGGAAAAGCAAGGATATCTGCTCATCCATCCGATCTCCTCACCACCTCCATAAAAGACTGGCTCTTCAAGCCTCCTCCACCTGCTCAGCAAATTCCCCTGTGCCAGAAACCATTGCCCTTCGCTTCCTTTCCTCTACACACTCCTCTTCTCCACCAGTACTTTGTTCAAACTATCCTAGCCCTACAAGAACTCATCAATCAACCTTTTATTTCCTGCATTTCTTTTTTGACATCAAACCACTTACTGACTTTCCATGACATACACTGTTGTTAAAGCAAAGTTGTTGGGTTTTTCGCATGGATCCTTCTTGTCCATTCCACTGCATTGTAATATCTCTGAGGTCAAATTGCCATGCACTTACTCATGTCTAGGTCTGTGTGGTGGGCTTTCTCTGAGACCCAGGGATTAAAAAGGGGGAGGCAGGCACTGTGCCTTCTCCTAAGATGCAGTAACGACATTCAACATGAAAATGCTGGCTGGGACACCAGCTCTTCTCTTAGTGTCTTCTTTCTATGTAAGGTACACATATGAAAGGTGTCTAAATATTTGTAGGAAAATACAAGTTTGAAATATCTGTAAAATAGACCACATGTTTTATAAATTATATAATGATAAAGGTCTATGTTCTGTATTTATATCTATACCTATATATACCTGTACCTATACCTATAGGTCTTTAGGTTAATTGATCTACCTAAGCAATCCACATTTATTCAGATTATCATTGCAGGTATTATAGAGAAATAACTTTAAGAAATATTCTCTGATGTTATAGGAAAGAGATAAAAAGCTTGTTTTTAAAATTTTGTTTGCCTTGTGAAAAACTTAGGCTGTTCTGTCCAACTAAAAAAATACTCAAATAAAGATATTTCTTATACATATTTATGCATATAGAACTTCCCACATATATACAGTACTTAATGTTTTTAATTTTATATTTATGCATATGTGCTTATGCATGTAAATGTGCATATAGGTGTGTGTATATGGAGAGAGAAAAAGAGAACATAGTATGTTCTCAAATCCTGATTTATAGCTGGTATCAAAAATTCACCTAAAGTTAAGCTTATAAAGATAGAACAGAAATCATTCTAAGGTAACTTCTAGATGTTGCAATAGATGTCCTTTCCCATGTGTAACACCGGTATAAATCACTGAGGGAGCAATATAGAGTCAGGTTTATACAGTTGTTGTATTATGCATTGACCAAATATATCCATGCTTTTTCTCCCCTGTAGTTTGCCCTGGAGCCTAATTACCTGCACATTTGGCCTAGAAATACTTTTATGATGATTGCACTTCCTAACACGGTAATACAGAATTTCTTGTTAACTTCAAATTTGCATCTACAATTACTGCGTTTCATCACTTTTGTGCTTTGTATATGTGTACCTAGTTGATGTCTGCATTGTTAATCTATTTAATGAGTATACCTTTAAAGCTTTGGGTTACGGTGCAGACCTGGGAAGGAACTCAAGTATTTTTCGGAAAGACTTCACTTGAATGAATAACAGGAGTTTACGTGGGCGGGTGGCTGTCAGCTCCATTAAAGGCAGGCTGGGAGGAAACAGAGCGCCAAGCAAAGCTGGAGACTTACGTTATAGATTAGGAAGCATCGCCAAACTTTACAGCCTGTAGGACATTGAGATATATGTTCTTTAAGAAGAGCGTGCCTTTTCTTTCCTTAGCCCCCTTTCTCCTATCTAGATCTGCTATCTTTTCTCTGGTTGGTCCCTTCCTTCCTATTGCCCGCTGCCCTGAATCCCAGTGCCTAATGGTACTAGTATAAGAAAGAAAAAAAGAGAAAACTATCAAAACAACCAACTCATTAGTAATTTAAGAAATGCAGTGTTTGCTTGGTGAAAACGGAAAGCTTAGGGTACAAATTCTCCTAATGACCAAGGAAGCCAGGAGCACCACTGAAACTTGCAGAGCTTTTCTTTAGGGGTGACAAGACAAAGCAATGAACGGTACCTTTCAGTTGGCTTGGACAATCACTCTGGCCCTAGCAGGAAGCTCTGTGATTTAGGGCTCCACCACTAGGGGGCATTGCCCAGCCCGTGTTCTCGCTCAACACTGCTCCTTTGCCTCTCACAGAACAAATCGTTCACTTGCACTTTGTTCATGCCCTTTGAAGAATTCGAAAAACTTCTTACCAGCAGTGATGTGCTGGATTTCTTCCAGAAGTACTTTCCAGACTTCATCCCTCTCATTGGAAAGTAAGTGTTTTGCTTTTTGCTTATTGGTTCTATTATTCTAAATTAAAATAAAGATTATGCAACTTTTTTTCAGTTTTTATTAGATTTGATAGCATGACTTGGAGAGAAATCCACTTTAGAGTAAGTCTCAGTGGATGTCCTGCTGTGAGCAGGGAGTCTGAGAAAACTGGAGAGTTGGCCAGCTTCTCCTGGAAAGACTTGCCACCAGTGTCCTAGGCTTATAGATCTCAGGTGTCTTGGGCTTTGCATGACGTACAGCCTGACTGTGTTTCCTTCCACTGAGAGACACACAAGTCTTTGGCCAACAGGTATATTTGTAACCTCAAGCCTCAGATCAGCTTCTATCCCAGAATCCTCATGGTAAAATGCTGATAAATAACAGTGCCCATGAGACCTTGTCTCTAAAATCACTGAGCACAGGACCCGCACACAAAAGTCCCACACAAGAGACAGTTCAGGCTTTAGCTTTCTGGCCCATGACTTGTCGCTCCTCTGGTACATGTCAACAGCATGTCCATGTGGACTTTGTCATGTGGACTCGTTCGCAGCCTCTGCTCTCCCTGACTGGCCCTCTTGGAATCTACTTTCTACCCCAGTGATGCCTCCATGTGGTGACCAAGAGTATGCCTTAGTCTGTTCAGGCCACAACAGCTAAAATACCACAGACTGGGTCCTTGTAATGGAAAGAACCCTGTTTTTCAGTTTCTCAACGTTCATACAAGTAGCTTCTCCCCGTGAACTCACACGAAAGGGCACTTACCCTGCTCCATGAGGGACTGCTCCCGTGACCTAATTAACCACCCTGGAAGGCCCCTCCTCCAAAGACCATCACATTGAGGACTAGGATTCCAAAACATTCAGCTGTAGCGAGCAGGACTCGGCCTCTTACCTCCTTGAGGCTCACCTTTATCCGGGTACCTACATTTTAGAGTAGTTATGAATGTTTAATGACTGATTATGTCAAAGTGATAGCCCACTGCTGGCCCATAGCAGACCTTTTAAACTTGCTAGTTTGCATCTTTTCCTGTAGCTAATTCAGTCCCTATTGATCTGCTCTCCAACGATGGAGAAAAATCTCTGCCTGCACACTAAATTTAGCCTTTATGTCCTTTAAAATCTGTTCCATGGCTATTTCTTGCCTCTTCAGACAGATTGAAAAGGCTTAACGGTGTGTACTGTTTCTCTATTTATAACTTTCACAAACTGCCATAAATGCATTACAATTAAGTAGTTTTTTGTTTTTTGGGGTTTTTTTTGAGGGAGAAGGGCTTGTTCTTTCTTATAGTCAGAGCATCATTCGATAGAGCTTTTGACCTTATTTTTCCTGTCTAAATGAAATTATGTGGACTTCAGCCAATGTATTATGATTTCTCTAAATGTCCAGTTAGTTACTACTGTTCATTTCCAAATGCATAAGGATTCACATTAATTTTAATTTTGGTATATTGCAGTCTAATCAAATGTACTATGTAATTTGGTCAGTTTTCCACAGAAGCTTAAATACACCAATACATATGAAAATTTCATAACCTCATGATATTTCCTGACATGACATATGACACAAAAATATTTCAAGTTCTTCAAATTCTGCCAAACTTGTTCTTTTGAGGGATGATTAAAATTGTTGCAAACCAAGAAGATGAGAACACTAGAACTTTAGAGCTGGAAGAAACTAGTTTTCTCTTTCTCATTTTCTTCCCAGCATTTTTTTCCCCTGTACTGGAGATTGAATCCAGGGCCTCACATGTGCTAAGCAAGTGCTCAGCCCTGAGCCATAGCTTCGGTT